CTCGGCTGTTGACGCTTTCTCTCGCACGCGCCATCGAGCCACTGCTCAACAACCGTCGGTTACTACCACAGTCGATTTTGTTGAGGGTTTCTCTGTCGCCGTGCTCGACCCCCATGCTGTTGAGGTGGGGTTGCTATATCTTGCACATGCCGTATCACAGCCGAATGTCCGTGTGGAACACCGCCTTTGCTCCTGCGGACGAATCCATGCCTTCGTTACTGCACTTTGCAGCATCCCTGCGGGTGCTTACCTCACAGCTCATGTGCAACGGTACCCTGCTGATGCGCTGTACGTCCAGTTTGATGGAGGTTGTAAGCGGCACTTAACAGCTGGGGGGGCCGGCGTTGCGATGTGGCATCAGTTTGTTACTGGCACGGCGGACATTACGTTCTCTTTACCTTTACCGGACTGTGCGGATGCCTACGAGGCCGAGGCGGAGGCGGCAATACTAGCTGCGATCCGATCGTTGGAATACGCAATTACCCTCCGGGGAAGAGGGGTTTTAATTCGAGTCGTCCACCTACAGGGAGATAATCTAGCCATTGTGGCCTACTTAGCTGGCTTCGGCCGGCTCCGTAGGGTTGGTCTAGTGCAACGCTTGCATGGGACGCCCTGGCCAGGTCCCACATCCGTGTTGAGTGGGAACAAGTCCCGCGGAGTGCTAACACAGTTGCTGACTCGCTTGCTGGAGAGGCGCTTGATGCTGCTATCCTTTTGCAGTCTTAATCCCTTGTTCAAACTACTCTATACGTCAGTATTTTTGATGCTCCTGCGTCGGTTTCTCCGCCTACGGCCGGACTGTCCGCTGCGGTTTTGGCTTCTCACTACCGGAACCGGAGCCCCTGCACTTCCTCCATGTTGGTCGAGCTCTTGCGGTGTTAGAGTCTCACCACCTGCGCGGCATACGGGCTCTGCGCGATCTCTGGCAAACCTTTTCTTCGAGAACACCAGTCGCCAATGATTACCATCGCAGCTCAACCGTTCCACAGGGGCTGCTACTGCTGCAGAGCCCTTACTCGGCCTAGCGCCTTCTAGCACTCGGACTCCAATCTACCGAAATTGACCTCGTTGGCGCACACTACAAAGCATTACGCGCCTTGACCATTGCCTTGGGACAGATCGACCTTTCCGCCGGTCCAACAGGCTAGAGGAATCCTGGCATGTGGCTGCCCCGTCTAGGCCATGCTTGGGCCACACTTTTCGCCCAAGAGACTTCTCAATTACACCATTTATGGTTCTGCGGCCAAAGCCATAGGGCAGCTACATCAAGGCGCCCTTTTTTTTGCCTCGGCTGTAGCGAAGAACGTTTTGTACGCCATTGATGAGGCGAAAGAGTACCTTGCCGCCAATTACATCGACTGCAATGGTATCAGCGTGATCAGCGATCTACCTCGCGCAACTGGGTTTACTTGTGCTCGAGGCAGTCGAGGGCCGTCTAGCCCGAGCCCTAGTCAGCGTCTTACTGCCTGACGTTGCATATGGGGTCGTATGGCTTCATGACGGCGTGTACGTCCGAGTTGCAGATACTGCTATCTGTGTGCCGGTACTACAACAGGCTGTCGCGGCCGAACTCGGTCAACTTCTTAATGCTCACATGTCCACAAAAGCAATGCGTGCTTGCAGAAGTGCAGTGCGTCTCACTCGAACAGACCATGCAATACAGTACGCTGTTTTGCCAGGAGCCAGCTATGGAAATCCAGTTTGGCGATTCCGCCTGGAACATTTGGCACATAATACGCCATCGGAATCTTTTGATCAAATGGCCGCAGCTCCTCAAGGCAGCTCTGGATGTTCCAAAATGGAACCTGTGCTGGGCTGCAGAGAGCTGTCGCAAGAACCCGGGAGGGCGGGCGGGCCTCGTGAGAAAACTTGGCCGCCGCACTTCAGAAAAGCAAGCAAGGAACAAAACACAGTTTTCCCTTGCGGTCCACGACAAAACTTCTTCAGGCTGCAAGTGAAAAACATGCTACTATTTTAAGGACACATTAAATTCCGTGCGCTCACCTCACTTACAATAATGCTCACATATCCACAAAAGCATGAAACGTGGCAGCGGCGTCCCAGCCCAATGCGTGCTTGCAGAAGTGCAGTGCGTCTCACTCGAACAGACCATGCAATACGCTGTGTTGCCAGAAGCCAGCTATGGAAATCCAGTTAGGCGATCCCGCCTGGAACATTTGGCATACAATACGCCATCCGAATCACTTTTGATCAGATGGCCGCAGCTCCTCAAGGCAGCCCTGGATGTTCCAAAATGGAACCTGTCTGGGCTGCAGAGAGCTGTCGCAAGAACCCATATTCCCGCAGGTCTCATGTCCGACGTGAAAAAGGCGCACAGGCGCTACTTGCACCATCCCGACCATTTGGGAGGTGCTCTTCTCAGAACTCGGGGTCAATCGCACCGGGACTTTCGGAATTGCTTCAGCGGCTTATTGGTTTGCGCGGATCATCGGTCTTGTGGGCAGGCTTTCCCTCAGAGTTCTTCTTCAGGCATTCCTCTTCATGCTCATTTACGCTGAGATCTTCATGTGCTCAGGTGGGGAGCCCGATCGCTGGCTCAATCTTTGGATGTCCCTTGCGCTTCTTTGCCTCCAGGTACCTCTTTTTCAGAACGAAAATGCGTGGAGGATTGCAGCTTGATTGGGTCGGTTTTTGGATTGATTATGGGCGCTTCAAGCTGGGAATTTCTGAGAAGGTGCCATTGGATCATCAGTGGCATCGAATCCATGGAGGGAAATGGCTGGCTTGTTGATGTCCGACGATTTAATGAGCTTCACGGAAGACTCGGTTTCATGTCCCAGGTTTTTGATCTGGATTAGACCCTTCTTGGCTCCCGGTTACGCTGGCTGGCTGCTGTAAGGAAGCGGTTCTCGCGCTACCCAACCTTATCCGTTGTGTCTTGAGGTTTATCGCTGACCGCTTGAGGCACGGTGCTCGCACTTACGAGTCAGGCCGTCTTGAGAAGGACGTTGGGAGCTTTTCCGCACGGATGCAGCTTGTAATGATACTTCCGTGGTCCTGGGCGGATGGTTTCTTCACAAAGGACCGGACCCAAAGAAGGCACCATGGTTTCAGATCATTTTGGGCAGGGATGAAGTTCCTTGGCTTTTCAAGAAGGATTCGGGCAGCTCGTGGGCGAGCACTTCCGCTGAGGTTCTCGCATCGTTGGCAGCGCTCCACTTGTTGAGACGCCATTTCAAGGATTTTTGGTCAATCCCTGGACACTTCCGTGCTAGCTTCTGTGGCGGGACTGATAATAAATCTGCCGAGGCGCTGTCTTGCAAGCTGCTCACGACTCGAGTGCCACTCATGTTTGTGGTGATGGAGTTCGTCACCTTTTGTGACGCTCTGGGTTTCAGATGCAATCTCAGCTGGAGGCCCAGGGACTCCAATCAGGAGGCGGACCGCATCACCAAACACGTTTTCGAGGACTTCGATGAAAACTTGAGACTGCCCTTCAGCTGGTCAGATATGACCTTATCAGTTCTGCCGTCTCTCTTGAGATTCGCGAGCTTTCAGTCTGAACTTGATTCCATCAAGGCCTCGATTGCGGATGATGGAACAACCTCAGCTCCTCGAATAAGATTCGAGAAAAGTCAGTGGGGATGAGGGAAAGGAGATGCCCTCGTCTGCGAAAGGGGGCAAATCCCTCTCGTCATCTCCTGTATGCAGGAGGTTTCATTTGCACTGTGTGATGTCGGGCTGTGCGGACCAAAACGAAGTCTCCTTGTGCGTACTGCTGTCATTCCCTGTTCCTTAAACCCTTTCCTTAAACCCTCCGGGTTTTAAGAAAGTTTTGAGCCTCCTGGGTACAAGCCTAGTTTGGGTAGCGAAGCGGACCAAACAGTTTGTTCCAAGGAGGCCCGGGGGGGAGGGGGGGAACAATGGGGGCTTGAGACCACTCTCAGTTCTGTACGCCTCAGCCATCGTGCTTCGGTCCACGGCCTACATGCAGTTGCTCTCAGTCATGTCAGTTATGTCAGTCATGTCAGTTGCTTGCAGTTTTCAGTTTCCTTTTCACGCGATTCATTTCAGTTCTCCCTTTTGCGAAACATTTATGTGAGGATGATTTTGAAGAAGTTTTACCTTTTAACACTCCTCCTCAAAGGAAGTACTTTCCAAATCTTTGATTCATCATTTCAGTTGTTAGTGATTTTATGGTATTTGAATTGTGGGCTATTCGCCCCTTGTCAGTTCAACGATATATCTCGCGCCGATACATTTTGGATCAACCGGAAGGGGACTTTTAGTCCTTTTAGTGTCCCACCCGGCCCACCCTGTATATTACTTCTCATATGGTCTGTTCATAACAGCCCAATCTGGATGGGGGGGCAAATCCCTCTCGTCATCTCCTGTATGCAGGAGGTTTCATTTGCACTGTGTGATGTCGGGCTGTGCGGACCAAAACGAAGTCTCCTTGTGCGTACTGCTGTCATTCCCTGTCCCTTAAACCCTTTCCTTAAACCCTCCGGGTTTTAAGAAAGTTTTGAGCCTCCTGGGTACAACATACCACTGCTTTCTTTCTTGTCCTTCGCAGAAATGGTTGGGTCGAATCCATACATATTCATGCCAGCCACTGTTTTAGTACAGTAAAACTGCGGCCACACCGCGTGCTGCACATCTGGGCGATCCAACATATGCGAGGTCTCAAGAAATTGTACCCAGAGCGGCGGCCCGGAACTGGGCTCAATACACACCCATTCATCCGAGGATGCAGGAGGCCGTCAGTGCGAGCGCTGATAGTCCCTTAATATCTTGAGCGTGAATTTTCTTGAAAAATCGGGCCTGGATTTTTAAAGAAAATGGCTGCCAAAAGTTTTCTGTAGTGTGAGCGCCAAGTGTTGCTATATTGCATCTTCTTGTCACCCGCGCTCGTCATCTCAAGGCATCTCAAAGCCGGTTTTGCATAAACGTCAGTGACACTATGCTGGACTTCACTGAACAAGCCACAGTCTTGCACATGTAAGGTTGCAGAAATTTTTCTTTCCCCGGGTTGTCCCATGGACTTCGGCGACGCCCTCGCCGCCGGTTCTTCAGGCCGTTCCGAGGGCAGCTCTACCAGCACCCGCGAGCTCCATAGTCAGCACATTTACGAACTCCAATTGGAGGTCAACGCCCTCCGTGCTGAAATCCAAACTCTCAGGTCCGCATTGCAAGCTCTGGAGGAGTCCCTTGCTCGTGCCTGGGTGAACCAGACCGGCCACCACCAACGTCTCTCGTGGCTCGAAGGGATCATTCAGACCTTGAGGGCTGCCTGTCGGGTATTTCTTGAGCCTGGCGTGCAGTCTGCCTCAGATTAGGCCATGAATACCTTTAGTGCCAGCATCTTGCAGCAACTTGCTGGTGTCACCCGCGAGCAGCTCGACGGTGCCTTGCCTCCGGCACAGGCCACTCTTGGGCCCCCTGAGCTTCCCTTTGCACCCGTGCCCGATCTTGGGGATGCCTTTCCTGCAAATCCATCTCCTGCATCTGCTTCTGCGGATAACTGGGGGTTTGTAGGATTTACTGGTGACTTCGAAGGGTCTACCAATGACTTCACAGCGCCTGTCTCTGAAGTCGAAGTCCAGCAAACTCACGAGTTTCCACCTTCCCCTCCCGTAGGGTTTAACCCCAATCACTTCGAGGCCCATTTAGCACCCCTCTGCGAGCCAGATGAGCAAGCCCCTTCCCTCTCCCTTTTAGGGTCGGGAGATGAAAACACTGCTTGGTATGAAGATGTTAGGGCCATGAGTGAGTCACATTTTTCATTGGTGCCAAGTGCCAGCAAAAGAGACTTTGGAGAAGAGGTCCGTCCTGGTAGGATTGCTCGTGCTGTGGGCGATGAGCGCTCACGTACTGCCGTGGCATCTCCTGCCCTGCCTTGGGAGAGAGGAGTCTTCAGAGCCATCTTTGGGGATGAGGGCTTAACTAGTCCCTTTGATAACCTTGTGCTTAAGATGCCTGGCCCCTTAGTTCCAGCACATGTGCCGCCGGCGGAGCCAAAGATCCCTGAGCCTCCCATACCTTCAGCTGACATCGCGAGCAGGGCATTCAAATCCTTCAAGGATGTACATCCGAGCGACGAGCGTGATATGGTCATGGACCGAGCGGTGTGCAAACTGCAGCACATTATTTGCCGCACCGATGTTGACCGTTTGTCACCTGAACTTGCAAAAGCAGCCTCTTCCAAAGATGCAACAGACGAAGTGTTTGGCATCGTGTCAGCTTGTGTAGGTCTTCGTAGTCCTCACACGGTTGTGAAGCGCGCCAACGCGATCCTTGCATACTTGAGATGGTGTGACAAGGAAGGTTACGAGAAGCCATTTTGTGAGGATTCTGTGTGGAGCTTCATTTCTTACTTAAAGAAAGAGAAGGCAGCTCCGACCCGTGCAGCCTCCCTCATTTCAGCTTTGCGCTTTGCGAACTTCGTTTTGGGGCTGAGTGTGTCCGAGGTTCTTGCGAGCCGTAGGATTCTGGGCCTCAGTGCCCAGCTGGGTGTCAAAAAGAAAGCGACCAACCGAGCCCGGCCTCTCAAGGTGTCAGAGGTTCGCTTCATGCATGGCGTGCTAGAGGACGAGAGTGCACCAATCTGGGACCGAGCCATCTGTGCCTACCTTCTTCTTGCACTCTACGCAAGAGCCAGACACAGCGATTTGGTTCTTGTAGAAGAAGTGATAGCAGACTTTGATCGCCAGTGCAGCGGATACCTAGAGATCCGCCTCAGATTCCATAAGACGGCACAAACCATTGCAAAGAAAAATGATTTGTTGCCGGTTATAGTTTCAAGCAAGGGCATCGTGAAAGGCGACTGGCTGGGGTTGGCTACTGATGTATTTGAGCGCGTGGGCCTCACCTTGGATGGGACTGTCGGTGCGGGCCTCTTCAGGCCATTTAGGCCCGGTGATGCTGCCCCAGGTCGACGAAGCCTAAGGTCGTCGGAGTGCACAACCATGTTGAAAATGGTCCTTGAGCGGGCTGGGTCAGATGTGTCAATGGTCACATCTCACTCGTTGAAGAGAACCCTGCTTGATTGGGGCTCCAAGTTTTGTCTTGATGACGGGATTTTGGCTTTGCTTGGGCGTCACAGTAAGTGTGTCAAAGGAAGCGTGCCCGTCTATGCTAAGGAGGAAGCCTTGAAAGCTGTTAGGGCTCTTGAGCCTATGTGCCAAGCAGTGGCCGCAGGATCGTTCCACCCAGATGCTGCCCGAGCCTTGTACTTTACAGATCCCCCAGCGCCAACTGTGGTGCCACAAGCGCCCGAGTTCAGGGCGGCTGTCAAGGCGAAGGTTGAAATCATCAATGATTCAGCGTCCGAGCGGGCTGAGTCCGAGGGGCAGCACTCCTCAAGTGGCAGCGAAAGCAGCGATTCCGAGTCACAAGACGACTCCGACTCGTCGTCCGAGTCAATTGCGCCGATCAAAGCGCCCCGCCTGGAAATCGAGCAGTGGGATGCCGCTGACTGTGCGGCCAATTCCAGGACCAGGACCCTTCACCTCTTGAAATTTGTGTCTGGAGGTGGAAATCTAATCGCCACGTGCGGAAGGACCTCAGAGGTCATGGTTCAAGCGGCGCAAGCACATATGAGTTTCCGGAGGTGCCGCGCTTGTGTGCGGATTGGGAAGCGCTGAAGGCTAGATGCCGACTTTCCGCCTTTTTGGCGAAGGGCGAAGTGCCAGGACCTAGAAGGTCTTTGATTGCGATTCGAGTCCAGTAAAGAGTGATCGTCTGCAGTGGGACATGTTGTTGCCAGGGACAGTGAAGCGCGGCAGTGTGCTGAATTAGACTCCGCTTGACTTGCATTTTTGTGAGTGCGGTGCGAACATTTGAGTTCTGCAGTATTGGCCGAGGATAAAACATGTTTTGATCATGTCATGAAGTTCATGTTGTGTTCTTCTCGCTTTGTCTTAGATCGAATGATGCTTTAATTACTTTCAGCTGCTGTTCAGGTACCTCGGAGTTTTGACGTGCACAGTGGGCTGTCCGAAGCTCCTTTTGCTCGCCATGTCCTCGTTAATCGATAGCGGTGCACACTTTAAAAGGCGTGCGGATGAGGTCGGCCTCAGCAGTGCCGGGTGGACGATCCTTCAGGCCCTTGGCATTACCTCTGTAGGTAAGGCGGCGTACACCATCACGTCGCCAGGTGAGCCAGTCACGGAACCCATATTCCGAGATTGGGTTGCCGACAATGCTGCAGGTATGACTCTGGGTGATCAATCATGCTTGAAAAGGCTCGTGTTCGAGTCCCAGACTCTGGTCGTTGCTGAGTTGCGCGACCAAGTATCCGGGTCTCAATCATCTGCCCCTCGTCGTGTTCCCGAGGCTGAGCGGGACCGAAGACTGAACGATCTTAGGGCGGCCCTCCCAGGCATCACGCTGGAGGGCGTGAACATGCCAAGCAATGCCCTGTTGGATTCATGTTGTCAGCAAGAGCGAGACAACTTGCTTAAGTACATCCCGCCTGAGAAGGCCACGAGCCGCACCCATGAACTCACGAATCCAAGACCGACCCATCAGGCGCTGCAGGTCGAAGCATCCAAGATAGTTCTCAAGAGTGACGCTGATGCCGTTGAGTATCAACCGGTCAATGTGCTCCAGACCATGGAGGCCCTTCGGCGACGAGGTTTGGCCATGGTGTTTGCACAGATGATTTCATATGATGCCTACGATCGGTATGTGAATCGTCTCTTTAACCACCTGTCCCGTGACCCGCCGCCAGGGCTCAATCGCGTGAATGTGACACAATTGGTTAACGCTGACAAGCAGGTGTTTGCACTGCTGGCCGAATGGGGTGTCAAACCAAGGAGGGATACCGCAGGCGAGTATCCCCTTGACCGAGAGATGCACCGCGCTTTGGAATCCTACGAGGTGTCCATTGCCCTCATGCACCAGGCTCCCCAAGGCAAGTTCCCGTTCAAGAATAACCGCAAGCGTCATCCCTCTCGGCCTTCAACCCCCGATCCTCCTACGAAGCTCCCTAAAGGCAAAGGCCGAGGCAAAGGTGCCAAAGGTGGTCCTGCGATGCCCAAGGAGCTTGTTGACCTGAAGGCGAATGCCACCACACCTGAGGGTAAGAGCATCTGTTATGCGTTCAACTTGAAGGAGTGCAAGCGCACTGACTGCCCTCATCAGCATGTCTGTGCCAGGTGTTTCCAGCCGCACTCGATCCGCAAGTGTGCTGCCGCCGGCGCTTGAGCGCCTTCGATCCCCTCTGAAGCAGTTTTGCATCGTGATTCACTCTTGTCTGAGCCTGCCTCGTCTCTTGTCGCAACTGGAGACCTGGCTGATGCATGCAATCCCATATCCCCTCCTTGTGAACAGCACGCCCAAACCTTGCTTTCCCGCGGTGCCTTGTGTGCTGAGGATGTGTTGGGCTTGGTCTCTTTTCTGCAACCCGAATCACCTCGCTTCCCTGGTGAGTTTAGTTGGGCCACTGGAGCCTATGTGCATGGCGGCATAGTCGGCCTCCGACACAACCTCAATCATTTTCCACTTTCGTCTAAAGTCTTGGCGAGCTTTGTTTCGAATACATTCCCACAATTGGAGTTTACCTCCATCGTGGTTTTAGTTAACACCCTCACCCCTGCGCACCAAGATCTCAACAATCATTTGGGTTTCCCCAATGCTTTGATTCCGCTTAGTAAGTTTGAGGCCGGTGGCCTTTGGATCGAGGGAGCTGGTGAGGAGGTTTGTCCTGACCCCGGGCATCCCGATGCCAAGGGACATGTTCTGCAACTGCATGAGCCGATCCAGTTCGATGCACACCGGCTGCATGCGACATGCCCGTGGACAGGAAATCGCACCGTGCTAGCAGCTTTCGTAATCAATGATTTCCACAAGTTGGATGCTCAGCACCGCCAGCTTCTTCAGCACACTGCCTTTCGCTTGCCAAGCCTGTCTACTGGCGAGCTCCTGCCTTTGCGCCCAAGCATCGCTTCACGGTTCCCAGTGGTCCTTGAAATTTTTGCGGGTACAGCTCGTGTGACCGCAGCCTTGCGTCGCTGTGGCTTTGTCGGGGCCCAAGGTGTTGATCACGTGGTCGTGGATCATGCTGCCTGTCCTGTGCTGTTGGCCGATCTGACTACGCAAGAGGGCCAGCGTTTGACAATGATGTGGCTTTCCAGCCCTCATGTTGTCGGTGTCTTCATCGCTCCACCGTGTGGCACCAGCTCTCGCGCCCGGGAGATTGCACTCCCTGGGCCTTCTCCCGCCCCGCTGCGATCACTCACTTTTCCCGACGGGCTGCCCCATCTGTCTGGTCTCAACCTGGTGCGCGTCAACAGGGCTAATCAGCTGTACCACTTTACGACTACCATCTGTGCTGAGGCCCATCACCGCAACCTCATCATTGCCGTGGAAAATCCGCGGAGTAGTCTCTACTGGTCCACCAGCTTCTGGGCTGCTGCGGCCTCCTTGTGTCCTATGCATACTGATTTTCAACACTGTGCCTTTGGCGGTCGCCGGCCCAAGTGGACTCGCCTTTGCCACAACCACCAAGCCTTCCATGCTTTGCATCGCGTCTGTCCCGGCGGTGCCTGTGCTGCCCAACATTTGCCGTGGGGTCGTTCTGAAGACGGCTCCTTTGCCACCGCCAGTGAAACCGCTTACCCGCCGCAGCTAGCCACCGCCATCGCTCAGTGCTTCGCTCGAGCAGTTACTTTTCTGCCTGAGGCCGAGCCCTCCGTTGCAGCCATGAGGGCCACTTCCGGCCTTCAGCCCAAGGCTTCTGCTGTGCCGCCTCTTGTCCCCGAGCACAAAGCTGTGCTTGTGATGACCGGCCCAAGTGATGCCACTTCCTTGCCGACCCTTCGCGCCCGACTGCCCGAGCCGTGGTCTGACTCGCGCTTCGCGCCTGCTGGGCCCGTGCCAGCCCACAGTCAATTACTCCGAGCGGATAAGAAGGGAAGTGATCGACTCGAATTGGCTTGGGGCATATGTTGGTCTCCAGAAGAGTTCATACATAAAGCGGTTCAAGCGGGACATCCCAAAAAGTTTGACTCGCTACTGCCTTCCGCACTGAGCCACAGCATAGACGTAAATGCAAAAACAACGCCGGCCGATAGAGCCGGCCTCAGAGCCGAATGGTTTGCAAAGTGGACCAAACGTGCAGCTGAACTTTCGGGGGACGAAAAGAAGCTCAAGAGCTCTCTCCCCGAGTACGCCAGGAAGATCGTCCTACCAAAAAGGATTTTATTGTGGCGTGAGATTCTAGAGGATCTCAAATATCCCGACATTGGAGTGCTGGACGAAATGCTTGAAGGAGTGCACTTGACAGGTCAGACCCCTTGCACAGGGGTCTTTCCTGGGCCTTTAAGCCAGCAAAAAGGACTTCGGAACAGCTGCGCTCCAAAGCTAGTGAGTCCCGCCAGAGGATCATCGATGCGATCAAATCGCAGGGTCACCTGGATGAAGCGCTAGAGCAAAAGGTCGACGAAGAAGTGGAACTCGGCTGGCTGTCCGAGCCGATAGACCCGGCCGATTTGCCGGAAGACGCCACAATCAGCAGGAGGTTTGCGATCGAGCAGTCAGGTAAGATTCGCTTGATAGACGACCTGAGTGATAGTGGTGTTAATGGGTCTGTCCAAACCACCGAGAGCCCCAAACCTCAATCCCTCGATGTGGTGGCCGCCATGGCCTTGGCCTGTCTTAGACAGCTGCCTGGGACTCCCATGCTAGGGAAGACGTTCGACTTAAAGAGCGCATACAGGCAAATGTTTGTGTCTCCGGACGACCTAATCCTCAGCAGCCAACGTGCCTGTGCGATTGTGGCTTCATCATCGCCAAAGAACTTGTGGGCTACCCATTTAAGCGTCTTCCACATTCCCAGCAACGCCACGCCCGCAATCAGCAAGAATCCGTAGAACTGGAAGCTTCCATCATAATCCAACGGCTTCTTGCTGTAAATCTCTGCTGTATTTGAGAGTGGCGCACTCTATGTGGTACATTGGGTGCTAGGCACTGAAGTTGATTTGGTCACATTTCTTCGACGACTTTCTGAGTCTGGCGACTCAGATCGAGGCCAAAGCAGTTGACCTGGCAACTCTCTCTTATGAAGCGGGGGTTTGGACCCACAATCGATCGTCTAGAAGGAAGCTGATTCAAAATCGAAAGGGTGTTGAGCCTACAGCCTCGGGCCAAAAACGAAAGATCGATGGGGCTCAGGGCCGTAGGACGCAACGATCTTCGGCCTTTTAGGCCCAAAATTTTCCTCGCAATCGCAGCTCGACGATTGTGGACTCTCTCGCTACCCTCACTCTCTCACTCCGCTCTCTCCGCTCACTCGCTCGCTTCGCTCCCTCGTTCGCTCCGTTCGCTCCGTGAGCTCGTTCGCTCCGCTCGGGTCCACAATCGTCGAGCTGCGATTCGCTCGGTCCTAAAATTTTGGGCCTAAAAGGCCGAAGATCGTTGCGTCCTACGGCCCTGAGCCCCATCGATCTTTCGTTTTTGGCCCGAGGCTGTAGGCTCAACACCCTTTCGATTTTGAATCAGCTTCCTTCTAGACGATCGATTGTGGGTCCAAACCGCCGCTTCATAAGAGAGAGGTCGCACTTTCATGCAGTTTCAGGGCTGTGCGGGTTATCGCTGTGAGTTGGGGGAGTGTGGTGCACCTGTGATGCACCTGTGGTGCACCTTCGGCGGTGCATCACGGTCGGGGAGTGTGGTGCACCTGTGCCGTGGCGTCGCCAACTCGTCGTCGCGGCGCCGTCGTCACAACACCACGTGAAATGTTTTTATTCCGGGCAGGTCGGGGAGTGTGGTGCACCTGTGATGCACCTGTGGTGCACCTTCGGCGGTGCATCACGGTCGGGGAGTGTGGTGCACCTGTGCCGTGGCGTCGCCAACCGCGCCGTCGTCACAACACCACGTGAAATGTTTTTATTCCGGGCAGGTCGGGCGGGGGCTGGTGCACCACGGTCGGGGGGGGTGATGCACCTGTGATGCACCTGTGGTGCACCTTCGGCGGTGCATCACGGTCGGGGGCAGGTCCGGGAGGGCCGGGGGGGGGGGTGAACGGGAGTTTTGGTGGTGCGTCTTGAGTTCCATTTCGCAGAGCTGGAGGGGGAGGTGCGGGAGCTTCGGGAGGTCTGCCAGAGGCTCGTGCCAGAGACTTGTGCCAGAGACTCGTGCCAGAGGCTCGTGCCAGAGGCTCGCCAGAGGCTCGTGCCAGAGTCGTAACGCACCAGTGATGCACCTGTGATGCACTAGCTCGTGCTCGAGGTCCGTGCCAGAGGCTCGTGCCAGAGTCTCGCGCCAGATTTTTAGGGTTGCCAGCCGTTTCGTGCGTGTGTGCTGATTTTGCAGGATTTTGCGCATCATGGAACTGACACGAGTGCGAGCGAGCCAGCTGAGAGCCCACACGAAGCCTTTTGCTTCAACTTGTTGTCCCCGCGCGCGCTGCTCAAGGTGAAGCCGTTGAGACGTCCATATTGGGTAGCTCATGGGCAGAACATGTAAAGACCCAAGGCACGCTAGCGGCAGGACATGCTCAGGCACAGACTTCAGGCGACAGTGGGGCAAGCAACAGCAACACGGAGACTTCAGATCCCGCGCTCGTGCTCATGCAAGGGTGGAGCTTGGCAGTCATTTTGTATGGCGTGCTGCTGGGCTTGAACCGTTTGGTTGCAGCTGGCGAGAGTGATGAGGAACGCTTTATCGATGAGTTTTTGGCAAGGGAGCCGGAGGCCAGTGCGCCACAGCCGGCGGATGATTCGTCATCTGGCTACTTGGCCTGGTGGCTGTCGCGGGTTCAGGACGATGACATGCCCCTGAACGGCAACAGCTCGGGCAGCAGCTCGGGCAGCAGCTCGACATCCGAGCCGGAGCTGGTGGCAGCAGTTGAGCCGCAGAGGCCAGCGGCGGCAGCCAGCAGCAGCAGCCAGCAGGCGGCGGCCGGGCCGGAGTCCGGTTCGATATGGGCTGCTGATGTGAAGAAGCCTCCGAGGAGACCGGCCCGTGAGCGGCAGCAGCGAGAGCAGGACAGGCGGCGGCAGCAGGAGCAGGAGGACGCGGAGCGCGAGCACTGGGAGCGTGCTGAGCAGGCAGCGCGCGAGCTGCAAGCTTCGAGCCTGTTCAACCTGTCCCAGCTTCCGGCTTTGGCAAACTTGCTCCAAAGTATGGTGCAGGTTTCGCAGCAGACGGCTCTTTTGTCTGCCCGCCATGAGCAGACAGAGCGTCGCTACCTGGAGCTGCTTCGGCGCCAAGATGAACTGCACCAGCAAAGGACCGAACGGGTGGCGCAGCAACTTTCCAGGGCGAATGAGCAATTGCTGAGTGTGATCCAGCATCAGATGGGAGCATCAATGAGCCCTGCTCCGCAAACGCCAGCTTTCAAGGGAGCTGGAACGCCGGCTCTTTCAGCTCCTGGAACGCCGGGCTTTTTGCCGCCACCTGCGATGCCTTTATTGGCACCTCCCGCGGCACCGAAGAAGCGGCGTGAACGCTGCAGGCAATGCGCGTCATGCCAGAAGGCCATAGTGGATGGCCGAGTCGTGCTGAGACTCGATTGTGAGGCCTGGGGCACGAGCCAGGAGCCTCCTCCAGAGTCGCCGCTTCCGCCAAAAAAGAAGAGGACAAGGTCGGCTTCTCCGACGCGGGGTGACCCCTTGGGTGCCAAAGGCAAAGGCGACGATGATCCCGACGGTCCAGGCGGCCCCGGTGCGGGGATGGCTCCTGAGCAGGTTGTAGCCACCTAGCAGAGGGCAGCGCAGGCCGTTTGCCGGGGTTTCAGCTCGAAGCTGCAGGGCTCAAGGCTTCGGCGGGAAAGAGCGAGCAGCACACAACACAAAGCACAGCACGGCACACAACCACAGCACACAGCCACAGAAGCCAGCCAAGCCCAGCGAAGCAGCGAGCACAGCACCCACGTGTCACAACGAGCAGCCCCCGCCCGTCACCCTAACGGAACCTGCTTCTAGCTTAACTAATTTACCTTAAAATCCTAGGCGTAGGCCGGGGGCTTGAGCAGGCTCCGTTAGGGTGGCGGGCGGCGGGTGGCAACCAACGAGGGAGTGGCTTTCTTGTGAAAAGCGAGCCGCGTGTTTGGGGTGGCTTGGTTTAGGGTTTCGTTCCGGGAGTTCGGGGTCCCTAACCCTTTGTTCGGCCCCCCGGTTGGAGTGCCAGCCAAGTGCCCTGCATGCAAGTGAGTGCGCGACGAGCCCCACCCCCGTAGGAGCCCGAACCCCTCGTCCCTGCCTTAGGTCCCCACCCCCTTTGCTTCTGCCGCTGCTGCTTCAACTCTGTGCTCCGCGCCGCTCTTCCTTTCAAGCCGGGCCGGGGGTGGGCTGGGTGGGGCGGGCTGTCGGGGACGGGCGGGGCGCGGCCGGGAACTCAGAGTGCTGCGGTAGGAGGGGTCGCCGGTAGGAGTGCAGGTAGGGCTGTCTGTGTGCGCGAGGTTCAGGGTTTTTGGTTGGAAGGCTGTAGGGGCTCTGAGGCTGCCAGGTACCCTGAGTCTGCTGTTTACCTAATTTTACACTTTGGCTTGATTTACTGTAAACGAAGGATTTAGTGTAAAATGACCAAATTTACGTAAATTTTCTGGTGAGCTAAAAACATGACAAAACACATAAAAACATTATGCAAACACAAACATGGAACTCATATTTGCGGCTGCAAACTTAGACACCACATGTAAAGGATTTAAAAAAATCACCGGCATGAGTTTGTTTTGCTCTGCAATCGCAGACACCACATGTAAAGGATCCACAGCAGAAGTAAGGACTTTTCCGAAAATTCGCAGGCCCAAAGCCATAAACTAACCAAAGAGAATCCATGCAGATTGCTTATAAGATCCACACCAGTATATACGACAACTGTGATTCAAAAGCCCAAACAAAAGACCAGGAGCACCACATATAGCAGAGAGACACTCTTTTTTTTCGCGACAGAAAAGAAAGAAGCTCTCACGATCGCCCAACTTTGCCCCGCAGAAACAAAAGGTGCCTCTCTTTGAGGGCAGCCTTTTTGGAAGCATGCCAGTGCTTCACCCCTGCCAAACAACTCTTCCATAGAATCTGCAGGCGATGCATCGTCGTCTCTCCCTTGTAGCACCAGACCATCGACGGATGAATAAAACTGCTGAGTAGGAGACTATGCAAAACGAAGTGGGTCTTACTTGTGAGATTGAAGAGCTTCTCCCCCGTCCCTTTGTAGTGGGCTTGCAGGCTGCTGTGGAGCTGTGCCATTTGGCAACCGAGCTTGAAAGCCAGGTTTGCTTGCTCCTCAGGTAAAGCCAAGAAGCCGTACCGTGGCCCATAAGCTTCCAATATTTCAGCCAGCTGCAGGTTCAACCGCAAAAAGAGCCGGATTTGCTTGTGTTGATAGATACCCTCGTCCATTTGCTCTTCGAATAGAGCAAGAATTGCACTGTCCAAAGATTGAATATCGGAAGCTCTTCCTCTCATCTTGGGAATCCTTTTTTTGGTTGTATCATTGTAAGTTTCAGAAGTCGCTGGCGGAATGTGTATCTGGTTTCGTTGTCTCGCTGGTACTTCTTGATGAAGGAGTCGCAGTATTTCAAATTCGCCAAGATACTCCCACCCAAACAATCGTGGACCACGATGCTGAGCACGGAGCCATAAAAAAACTGTATCCACCCCAAAAACATACAATGCATATAGTCCATCGTGATACAAAGTCCCGAAAAGCCAGGTAAAGAATACAGCTGGCATGATGGATTCCAGTGGGATCTCCAGTTGGTGGTGGTGAGGCACGAGGCTTGCCACGGCGAATTTGCACGATTGTCCATCCATGTTAGTGGTCCTTTGAAGGCGGCCCGACAAAGAGCACAAGGTTTGCTGTGATTGCTCCATCGTGGAACCTCCAGCCATTTCGCATAATAATCCAAGTCGCCAGCCATTTGAAC